AACACTGTTTGGGGTGATTGTCAGCAAATGACTGTTCTTTTTGTTTTTGCCACATTTTTGGGTAAAGGATACTATTGTCACAAATAGTCAGAGGGAGGTAATTTGAACCATACAGAATGCCCAATACGATAGTCTCCCCTGCTGTCTGTTGTTCCTCTGCTTTTTCTGGCCACAGGGTGATCTTTTAATCCTGGCCTCTCAGTCTGGTGGACTGGGTGGGCGTTTGTTTTGGGGCAGGCGAGTTGTTGTTTTTCCCTTGATTTGAGGAGAGGAGCCTGATTGTGCCTAGTTCTACCATCTCCCCCAGTACCACATTTTCCTTATTTGAGCCAAATTTGGCCCGCAGTACAGGGCAGGGGAGAGGAATGACTTGATTCTGATTTAGGAAGTAGTTAAATCAGATAGGAGACATGAGGACCCAGTGTCAAGGATTTCCATGGGACTTCCAGGCGAAAAGAGGTTCCTAAACGAGTCAGTTCTAGTCAGAGATGAGCCAGCAAGGAGGGGTTGGGATTTTGGACAGATTTATGAGAGGATTTGGGTTTGAGGCTGAATCAGAACTGGAGTTCTGGGGTTGGGTTTGTGGCTGAATAAAAGCTTGCATTCAGATTTTGATGGCAAACATTAGTTTGATCACACCCCAATTGAATAAGCAATATTAATGGATTTCAAATAATAAAACAAAACAACTAGTTCCTACATAGCACTAATGGCTCTCTTTCTCTCTCTGACAGATAACATAATATATACATTATAAAATAGCTTATATATAGATCCCTGCACAGATACAAAATTGATGTCCGTGGATGCGGATATAGAGTGGGTATCCATGGAGCTGCAGGGCCCTACCAGGAACCACAGTGGCAAAAGCTGTAGCATCTCAGGCCATCGCTCGCAGGAGCCAGCGCCCAGCCTGGGCAGCTCCTCCAGATTGCCTGTACCGCCTCCAGCTCCGCCCACTGCGGCAGCACCAGGCTCACCGGCAGCTGTCCCTGGTCACGCTCGTGTGTGCAAGCGGCTCGCACGCTCCTGGACGAGAGACGCACACGCAGCGGTGCTGGAACAATTTGTATGGGGGGGGGAGGCTGAGAGCCACTGAACCGAACTGTAAACCCTGGTTTTAATGAAAACCACTTCAAGCCAGGGGGTGCGGCAGCACCCCAGGCACCCCTAGTTCCAGCACCTGTGCGCACAGCACTGCATAGAAGAGACTCCTGTCCCAGAGCATGCAAGCCACTTGCATACCTTAATGTGACCAGGGACAGCTGATGGTGAGCCTAGTGCCACCCCAGTGGGCAGGGCTGGGGGCAGTACACCCACGTGGGATGAGCTGCCCAGGCTGGGCGCTGGCTCCTGCGAGTGACGGCCCAACACGCTGCTGCTTTCGCTGCGGTGGTTCCTGGTAGAGCCCTGCAGCTCCACGGATATCTGCTTTATATCCATGGATATAAATTTTGTATCCACACAGGGCTCTACTTATATATGTAAATGGGAGAAATCTCTCTCATGGGAGAAGTCTTGTGAGACCAGACAGTCTCAAGAGATTTCCACCATCATCGATATCTCATGAGGACAGTTGCACCAGAACCAGAAAACAAGCCTGTCAAGGTTCCTCCCCCACTCTGAACTCTAGGGTACAGATGTGGGGACCTGCATGAAAAACCTCCTAAGCTTATCTTTACCAGCTTAGGTCAAAACTTCCCCAAGGTACAAAATATTACACCCGTTATCCTTGGAATGGCCACTACCACCACCAAACTAATACTGGTTACTGGGGAAGAGCTGTTTGGACGCGTCTTTCCCCCCAAAATACTTCCCAAAACCTTGCACCCCACTTCCTGGACAAGGTTTGGTAAAAAGCCTCACCAATTTGCCTAGGTGACTACAGACCCAGACCCTTGGATCTTAAGAACAATGAACAATCCTCCCAACACTTGCACCCCCCCCTCTCCTGGGAAATGTAGGATAAAAAGCCTCACCAATTTGCATAGGTGACCACAGACCCAAACCCTTGGATCTGAGAACAATGAAAAAGCATTCCGTTTTTTACAAGAAGACTTTTAATAAAAAATAGCAGTAAATAGAAATAAAGAAATCCCCCCTGTAAAATCAGGATGGTAGATATCTTACAGGGTAACTAGATTCAAAAACATAGAGAACCCCTCTAGGCAAAACCTTAAGTTACAAAAAAGATATACAGACAGAAATAGTTATTCTATTCAGCACAATTCTTTTCTCAGCCATTTAAAGAAATCATAATCTAACACATACCTAGCTAGATTACTTACTAAAAGTTCTAAGCCTCCATTCCTGGTCTGTCCCTGGCCAAGACGACTACAGACAGACACAGACCCTTTGTTTCTCTCCCTCCTCCCAGCTTTTGAAAGTATCTTGTCTCCTCATTGGTCATTTTGGTCAGGTGCCAGCGAGGTTACCTTTAGCTTCTTAACCCTTTACAGGTGAGAGGAGCTTTCCCCTGGCCAGGAGGGATTTCAAAGGGGTTTACCCTTCCCTTTATATTTATGACAAAGCCCCTTCCAGTTCTCAATCTGAAATGAAACCATAACCAGACATGTCGGATTTGTATCCAGGACTTGATTTGAAATCTCCCATGATATCAGAAGGGCATAGGCAGCACGTGACTCTTTCTTTTGGGGAGGCTACTCTCAACAGTGCTGGAAGCTCCCTAGAAGTGGGGGGGCCACCAGCGCCCAGGCGGTGGCCACACCCCTCCCCAGGGCTCCCCCCACACTCTGCCCTTCCCCTAGGCCTTGCCACCACTCCGCTTCTTTCCCCGAGATCCAGCTCTCATTCGCTCCTCTCTGCCTCCTCTCCCCCATCTTTTGCCCTTAAGGCAAGAAAAAAAGGGGGAGGGCATAACCCTCCCACTTTTAAAAGTGAGGGCGCCAAGGCCAGGGGCACTGGAATAGGGGGTGTGGGGCCATGGCCCCATCACATACGAAGGATTTCCTGCCTTAAGGGCAGGCCCCTGGGGAGGAGGGGAGGCAGGGCCATGGTCTGGGCACCAGTGGCCCCACCATTTCTAGGGAGCTTCCGGCACTCCTGCTCTCAGGGCACAAAGGCGGTGGGCTGGTGCGCCTCAAAAGGAAGATGACCTGCATCTGGCGTTTGCTCCCCGCATGGCCAGCCTGTTTTATTTTGGGGAGTCTTAGCCTCCCCACGCCTCCTCTATGCGCTGCCCATGCAGAAGGGGTTCAAATTTGAGGTTCTAGTCTAGCATCTCCGGTGCTGGAGTTGGACATGGAAAGGTGAATGGCATTCCCTAATGGGATATGCGCTTAGTGTCAGGCCAGGAGAAGCCATCCATTTCCTATCCTCCTCATTCCACATCAATGAACTGGATTTCTGTGTCCATCTGGAATGGAGTCTTAATCCCAACCTGAATGACAGCGTGGTTAACATGGTCAGAGAAATACAACCAGCTTCAAGCCACCCCATTTCAAATGCACTTATTGTCCTTTTCAGTTCAGAAATCTGAGCTATTATACCCCTCCTTTAACATCACTTCTCACGCCACTACCCCACCCCCTCCATACGCTCAGCTGCACCTCATCTTACAGAGGTTCAGAACCAGTACGCTGGGATGTAGAATGCAGCATGTTGTTTTAATTTATTTTCACTGACTAGCCACTGCTCACCACAATGTGGGGTCAGTATAATTAAAGACCCTAGCTACTGAAACACCAGGCTCAGGGATTGTAAGAGTGGAAGTCTCTTCCCATCTCGCCCATGTCGCTTTAGGGGTTGAAAAACAGGATCTTTCATTTTCTTCCATTCTCTTTTAGGTACAGGCCGATTTCACCGCTGGGCACCTAACTTCATCTCCCAGACAACAAATTAAATGAGTTTGAAGGTCTCAGTTTAGTGCATCAGAAAACAATTGTCCTCACACCCAAAGGGAAACATCTTTCAAGCCTTGTTGCAGACAGGTGTATTAAAAACAAAGGTAAAAGATGGCCCTATTATTCACCCTGGGGAACAGTTGTGAGAGGTAAGCTTGAATGGCTCTGCCAGCTCAACCAGTGATACACTGAGTTCTAGATGACAATGGAAGCTGGCTGTTTCCTGCAGGGAGGAAAAGGGCAGTTGGACTAGCTCTAGAAAGGAGCTGTTTATGTTTTGTTTTGCTGTAAAAAACCCAGGCCATATTTTCTTCTTTAAACAGCAAAATTTCTGCCATGGGGCAAGTTGATTAAAAACAAGCAACTCTTGTAAAGCTGCACTCGCCAGTGCAAGGAGTGAAATGTCACCACACATTCAAGGGGCAATCCTTGTGGGCTTTTGGCTGTGCACACACAGAAGCTTGGGAAGTGGAAATCAGAGCTTCACCATAGCAACTTTGTTGTTAAAAATGCTCAAATGTCAACTTGTCCCTCAGGTGCTGTGGGGTGGACTCATGTGATGCAAAGGCAGAAACCCACAGTTTCTAAAAGGATGTTTTTAACCGGAAAGCTGAGCTAATGGGAGCAGAGCTGTTGCACTGACTTGGGCCAAGGCGACACCTCATTGGACCAATTACGTTAAAAAAGGTTGCTGGGTTTCAGAGCCAGAGCTTCAGCTGACATAAAGCAGCTTAGGTCCCCTGCACTGAAGAAGTTACACCCATTCATATGAGGGGAAGGTCTGGCTTTCAGTGTCTGCTTGTTTCTCCCCAATCCTGCTGAACTGAGCACATGTGTGATTCCAGTTTCTCAGGGATGATGCCCACAAAGCAACACAGCCACAAAAACACTGTGGGCGGGTTTTGCTCTCAGTTACAGCAGGGCAAATCAAGAGTAGCAATGTTGACTTCACAGGAATTGCTCTGGCCTTTCACTAAAGTAAGTGGGAGCTGAATCTGTTTCTGTGCGTAAAAAACCCCGAGAACCTTCTATTCTCTTCCGGCATTTGCCACAAGACTGAGATGGGTACCATGTCCCAACTGCATGCAACACTCCAGCACTCCAACACTGTGAAAACCCAGAAAACAGTTAACCTACCCAGCCATCACAATGAAGAAATCCAGGCGGTTCCAGGTGTCTCCAAGGTAACACTTCTTGCCAAAGATCCCAAGGGCCACCATCTTCAGCACCATCTCCATGGCAAAGAAGATGAAGATGAAATCATCAAATACCTGAAGGAGCCACAGGGAAAAAGGAGGCTAAATTTAACAAGTGCTTGCTGCCCTTTTGGTCTACAGTTCAAAGTGTTTAAATGAATATAAATTTCAGCGTGCACAAAAATGAGTGACTGACAGTTCTGGACAGTGGAGATGCCAGGCAAGTTTCCTCGGAACATGGCTGGGTGAATAGGAATGCATAGAGGTATAAGTGAATTCTCTATATTCTTATGCCCTCAACTACATTCAATCTATCTCTCTTGCTCTCTGGCAAACTCTTGTAATTTTTTTAAATCAAGCTAGTTTGTTGCTATGGGATCCTTGCTGAGAGAAATTTGAGGCTCCACTACATCATGTTTGCTGGGGCCCTGCCCTTTCATTTTATTTAAACAGACTTTACAGATGTTTGGGAGGGGGGCCCTGAACTCAGGGCCCCAGTGCAATTGTCCCTGATTTCCCCCCTCCCCACAATCAGCCCTGCTCCTTGCCACCCTTTTTCAGAAAAAGCTGAGTGCAGATGGAAGGGAAACATCAGACATAACAATTAGAACACTGTCCAGAGCCTCAGCCAATGGTGCACCTGCTCCCATTAAGGGTCAGGAGACTGCTTACCTGCAAGATCTTGCACCGGTCATTGAGACAGTCCATATCATCACAAGGCTGGTACATCCCCAGGGTAACACAGTTCAGCAGAATCACCATCATGCTGACACACTCGAACCAAGTGCAAAGGAGAATAAAGAGTCAAGGAAAACTCAGCTATGGTCAACTGACCTAAAACTTGGGATGACAAAATAGACACCTTTAAAGAAAACAAAATCCCAGGTGATATAATAACCAAGTCATCGATCCCTATATTTTCTGTCTCCATCCTTTACCCTCCTTCTCCCATTCCATTCCAGGAAAAAAAACAAGTTGAAACTCATTTTGGGGACAGATTCAAGTAACTCAAAGCATTGTGGGCAAATTAACATCCATTGTTAAACACAGACACACACCAACTTCCTATTTCAGTGGTTTGCTGAATTGTTACAAATTAAGTGTGATAGAAACAGATTTCCCATCATGCCCTCCACTCAAAAGCTGCAAAGGCCTTCAGCATATGAGGACAGGGTTCATTCAACATAATGGAGTGGAACCTAGAAGTAAGAGTCTCTCCTGGGGAGAATACAACTTAAGGTTTGAAAGCCTAGAAATCATTTTCTCTCCTTGATAAGAACCTAGAAACATGGAACTGCCATAATGGAACAGATCAATGGTCTATCTAATCTGTTATTCTGCCTCCAACAGTGATCAATGTTGGATAAAACTTCCATGATGTGCCTAATTGTGCTATACTATCACCACAGGGGAAAACTGTGTTCCTGACCCCAGCTGGTGACCAGTTTATGCCCAGAAGCATGAGGATTGATAGTCCTTGTAATTGTTTTCTTAGCTATATTGGTGTCCCTGCAGATGCTACACTTATTCATAAAAAATGTTGAATCCTTTGTTTAAACTAAAATATCTGCTTCGATAATAGCCAGCAGCATTGAGTTACTCTGGCTAATTATACTTTACATTAAAAAGTGTTTCCTTCTATTTGTGAAAAATGAATTGTCTTTTAATTTTATCAAGTACTGCTCCATTTCTACATTAGGGGGCAGTGTAAACAGGAGTGCTTGAATGACCTTCTCTATACCCTTCAGAATTATATACCTCTCTCCTCTTATTCTTCTCCCTTCCCAACTAAACAGACTTGGGGCCTGGATTTCACTTATACTAACCCCCCTTTACAGTGCTCTAGCAATGTGAAAGGGCCTTAAAGTGGGTGTCAGTCCTTTAAGGGGATGTCTACACAACAAGAAAATCCCACAGCTGGCCTGTGCCAGCCGACTTGGGCTTAAGCTGTGGGGCTGTTTCATCACTGTGTAGACTTATGGGCTCAGGCTGGAATCTGTTCTCTGGGACCTTCCCACCTCACAGAGTCCTAGAGCCTGGGAAATCAAGGGGAATCAGGGCCTCACATGCCCATGGCGGTTCTCTGAAGTCCATCTGGGAGTAACTGGTTAATGGACAATTAGCAGCAGAGCAACTGCTTCCTATAAGGCTCCCTGACAGGAAGAAGAAACTGCTGCTAGAGAGGAGAAGCTTGGCTTGTAACTAAAAGGCAACTCTGAGAGAGGGTGTTCCCATGGGGAGGGAACAGCTTCCTGAAAGGCAACCTGAAGGAGTGACAGTTCTCCAGGCTGGAAGGGAGAAGAACAGTGTACCCGGCAAGGCAAGGGCATGAGATGGTTTCCAAAAGAGGAGTGCCTAAAGAAGGAACCAGAGTGTGGTCCCACATGGAGTGGGCAAGAGTTCAGAAGGAACTGGAGACTGTTTACTTACTAGAGTAAGGTTTACTTATGTCATTTTCTGTTATCAATAAATGAGGCTCTGAGGCACTTCTTAAAGGACAAAAGTCTGTTTTGTATTGGTTTGTACCTGAGAGATGGAAAACTGAGCTAAGATGCGCTGGCGACACCTTGCTCAGACTCCAGGGGGTGCAAAGACATGGGGCTACAGCATCAACAGGACCAAAACCTTTTCTTAAGAGCTTAAGAGTCCATTATTAAAAAGCAATCTCATGCTGTGGTGTCTCTCACTCCTTACATAAGTGAACGCAAAATGGTGGCCTAGACTTCTGTCACGTCTCAAGAAGACTCCAAATCCTGTAGTTTGTTTTGTGGGGTTCTTCCTTGAGTGTAATGTGACAGTGAAGCACATCAAACCTTCACGCTCTGGGATGGAGGACTGTGAATTCCCTTCCTTCTCCTCCACTGCCCTCACCGAAGAACAGGAACAGCGGTCAGCTTCATTTTGTCATGACATCAGACAAATGCTCAGCAAGGGCACTGGCAGAGCTCTGTGTTAATCATGCTCAAAGGCAGTTCAAAGAACACATTCCTCCTGTGCTCCTTTGTGAGGCCAGCACCAGGTTTAGTAGAAAGTAATGCACACGGGGCCCTATTTAGCTCCCTATTTAGCTTCACGTGGTCCCTTCCCCAGTTTTGCCCCCCATCATTCACTGGCTTCTGCCTTCCCACCCCTCACAGCCATGCCAGGAAGGTCCTTTCTGCTTATTTTTGTATGAATAGATTCTTTTAGCACCGAGTTTTAAAACAAACTGCCTGCCTGCCAGGAAAATGTTATGAAGTATGAGAGAGATGAGGAAGAATAAGAACCTATTTTATCAGACCAGCTGCTGTTGGTGGAAGGTATGAGCTCTGTGAAGCTCAAAAGCTTGTCCCTTCCATCAACAGCAGCTGGTCCGATAAAAGAAACTACCTATCCTACCCTGTCTCTCTCATATCCTGGAACCAACATTGCAAACATAGAGTATATGGACACTAATCAAATACACTCACCCTGTCAAATCTGTGAGCATGTGTGTCTTTTATTCTCCTTTTCACTTCTTTAAGAACCCGATCGAATGCCCAGTGAAATCAATGGAAGGATTCCCATTGATTCCAGTGGGGTTTGCATCAGTCCTATTCTCTCCCATTTTTCTTTTCCTTTTTGTGCCTCATCATCCTACTCTCTTGACCCCCCTTTGCTTTGAAAAGCACCCTCTTTCCTAACTGTGCAACATCTCCTTTCTTTGCCCCTCTCCTACCCGATTCCTCCATCCCTGTTCTCTGTTCCACCCATCCTCTCTTCCTATATTGGCATCTGTCCATTTCCTGGGTTTGTTCTCTCTCCCCCTCCCCTTGTTTCTAGATAGTCTCCACTTCTCTTTCTACTCACCAGCCTGGTGCATGTAGGGTTCCCAGACAGCAAATGTGAAAAATCGGAACAGGGGATGGGAGGGGGTAATAGGAGCCTATATAAGAAAAAGACCCAAAAAGCGGGACTGTCTTTATAAAATCGGGACATCTGGTCACCCTAGATGCACGGGCTTTGCCTATCTACACTCCCTGTGGAGGTGCTAAGCTGAATCTAAGCCAGAGATGCCTTGTTCTGCATTTTGCCCCCAGTCCACCCTTGCTGCAGACAGAAACAGTTTGTTATTGCTTTGTACTTTGTTGGAAGGTGGGGATGAGGGTTGAAAGGGCTGCTTATCATTCAGCTGCGTCTCCACAGTTTGCTGGTTCTCCCTCCATTTTCATGGCCCTGAAGATAATATGCTCCTGCATACTCAAGGAAATGAGGCCTTCTTTCCCATTTCTCATCTGCTAAACTGTTCTCTACAGGAACCCATTATGACACATGTCTGTGTCAAACTGTAGGCTCCATTTTGTTTTGTGAACTCCACTTTGTTTCAAGGGCTCTAGTTTGTACTGTGACCTTCATGTTGTATTTCAACCTCCTTTGTGGATTAGAGGAGTCGTTTTGTAAGAGGGGCTTAACATCTAGTGAAATGTCTTTGTCTGAGAAGCTATGACAGAGCCATCAATGTTGAATGACTCTCCCCTAGGGGAACAATGGATTTTCTATGGGTGGGGCCACTGACTTTGAATGTCTCTCTATACAGAAGATGACAGGGAGAAGGAAGCTGGAGTCCAGAACTCTGCTGCCTGGAGCACATGCATAAAAAGGGAATAGAAACTGTTTTAAAAGAGGGGTTCCTTTCTAAGCACGAGACCAGACACTGATGAATGAAAGAAGACCAAGACCAGGGCAAAATGTCTGCCTGACTATGACCAAACCCAGAGCACACAGGATGGGTGAAATCAGACATGGGGGGTTGCATTCAGGAATTTGTTTTGAATAGATCTGTAACCCTCTAGTGTGCTTTGTTAGCATGACAATGCTTAAGAAATTCTTTTGCTGAGCTTGTATTCATTGCTTTCCTGCCACACTGTCCCTGAAGGATTTCACTAGAAACCAGAGCACCCACAACCAGATGGACTCTGAGGTAAACATGTCTAAACAACAAAGGGCTGCGACACCAGTTCTGGGGTATAGGTAACTGGACTGCAGGGTCCCACTGCCCAAGAAGTGTCTGGGGCCTGCACCTGGGCATGTGCTTGAGAGACACAGAGCTAGGAACAGTAATCAGTCACTACCCAGACCCAGGGCAGCTCAGTAGCACACAGGCCCAGGAGCTGGGTCCGTTTACAACAGAGTGGTGCCCATCCAGAAGAGAGGACAGGAATGAGTCATGACATCTATCTCTGACCAGCTGGTCTTGGGTGGTTCATGGGGGCATTTTGGAAGCAAGGGACATTATTTAACTGCATATATAGCATGAGTTTACAGCTGATCTATCCCTGCTCTCTACCTGCTAAGAGATGGAGTGTTCTCTCTGGCATGGGTGTCCCTCTGGATAAGATTGACTAAAAGGTAGATGACTACAGCACTAGAGGCTGGAACTGGGGGCTCTTGTTGCTGGGGTGTCAGCAGTAGCTTCACTAAAGGAATCAAAGGGAAGCCCCCTTTTGCCCCCACCATTTTGGCCAAGCTACTAGGAGCCAAAAGCTTTGCTTTCACCCAGGTCATTCTAATGAGACGGCCCCTATATTGTTTTGACACCCAGTAAATGTTTGTTTGTACTTTTAAACAGAAGACTAGTGCCCTCCACTGGCAACGTGGGTTAATCACTGGTCCCACAATTGGACAGTTACATCTGTATAATGGTGTAAGAAGGCTGGTCCAGTGGTTAGGGTGCTAGCCTGATGCTGGGCAGACTTAGGTGAATTCCCTGCTCTACCCCGGGCTTCCTCCTCTGATCTTGGGTAAATTATTTAGTTTCCCTCTGC